AGACAAAATGTGCCAGAATTATGTTATGATGATTTGAAGTGATTAAGTAATTAAGTGTAACCCCAGGTGACAGACTCCTAAACACTGTTGTGTTTAAGAAGAACACGTTATTACTAGTAGATGTTGCAGGACAGATTTACTTCATAAGAATAAAATCCAATTTTCCCATGCTGATAGAGGCAAGTTTCTTTTGTATATTGTGCTTGAAAAGAAAGAAAAAAAAAAGAGAGTTGAAGCCAGACTGCATTTGCACAAGGACATTTGAAAAGAAGTGTTTTGTTAGGCTGCTGGACTGACATGATTCAATTTTGTCGTGAACACAAGGGCTGCCCAGCATCTTTACCATCTGGGAATGAAACTTGGCCTCTCCCCTTCCTTTCTGAGCTTTTTCAGATCTTTTGTTATGTTAAACAGTGCAAAGAATGACAGACTTTCTCTGTGCTGCTTCTTAAATTTACCTTTTTGTTTGCCTTCAACTTTAATTTATTCTTCCAAAGCTGTGCCCGAGGTACAAAGATGGGGAAGTTCATAATGAGATTTAGGGACTGCCTGGGTGAAAGGGTGGTGGCTTTGCCTGGAAATCCAGGCAGTTAAACTCCCTGAGGAGTGTTCCCCCACTTGTTTGCTCTCCCTGCCTTTGGCTTGCTGAAGGCTGAACTAAGGAACGTTGCCAGGCAGGTGTCAGCGTGCAAGTGTGAAGGGAAAAGGCAAATGCAGAATTAAAGCAATTCTGAGTTAAACTTCAGCTGTCAGGGTGAGACTCAGATCCCACAGCCCATCGGTGAGCTCTGGCTCCCACTGCTGTTCTCTGCAGTGCCCTGTGTGATTCCTGACCTGTGTGGACCTTCCCAGTGCCTTCCCTTACAGCTGGGATGTGGTGCAGCTCCTCTGTCAGGAAGCACACCCCTGCCTGTGCCTGCCCAGAGCACAGGGAAGGGGCTGTTTGTCACTGGCAGGTTCAGCTGCGATTTTTTTGGTGTGATTTGTTGGCCTGACTGAGATAAATTATACAAAGTGCTTCAGGAATTCAGGATTGAGGTAGGGAGGCAGCAAGGGGATGAAAACTGATCTGGAAGCAGAACTATCCCATGGCGGATTGGAGGTAGGGAGATAGGAGCTTGGTTGTTGGGGAAGGACTCTGGTTCTTAGCTGTGCATGGACAGTGGAATTTTATCTGTAGTTCACTGATGGGAAAAGATGTGCTAGAGAGGAAATGTTTTCATTGTTGATAAACTTAAAAGGAAAAAATTATTGTTCAGTATTGAAACCTTGGTATTTCCCAGGTTTGTAACTGTTGGTTTCTGGGCTCTGAGAAAGCCTTTATCCAAATTCCTAGGGAAAAAAAAAATCCAGTGAGAAGCTATTGGGAGATACTGCCTGTGAGTTTAATCACAGAATCATGGAATGGTTTGGGGTGGATCTTAAATCTCACCCAGTCCCACCCCTGCCATGGGCAGGGACACCTTCCACTAGCCCAGGTTGCTCCAAGCCCCATCCAACCTGGCCTTGGACACTTCCAGGGATCCAGGGGCAGCCACAGCTTCTCTGTGCCAGGGCCTTTCCACCCTCCCAGGGAAGAATTTTTTCCCAATATCCCATCTAACCCTGCCCTCTGGCGGTGAGAAGCCATTCCCCCTTGTTCTATCACTGCATACCCTTCTCCAAAGTCCCACTCCAGCCCTCCTGTTAGGAACTTTAGGAAATTTGTGATCCACAGACACCAAAAACACAGAGGATTTGCTGGTAAAGTGTCCCTGTGTCCTTGGGTTGATTCTTCCATAGGCAGTTTCTGTAGCCCCCTGACACTGAGCCAGGCCATTTTCTGCTTTTTTTATGAATTAAGAGCAATTGTACAAAACCTCTGAAATTATTTTTCTATGCCAGTCTTAAAGCATAATTTTTTTGAGCCATAAAACACGATGTTGGTTCTCGTGTGGGTCTTACATGGTGCTGTTGAAATTCATATTATTAGTGTCACCTGTTAGTGTGGAGCTTTTTATGGCAGCACAGGCATTAAAACATTAGTGGGCTCCAGAATCAAATTACTCAGTGTTGTACCACCATTAGAGCTTAAAGGTTTGATTGGTTTTCTGTAGGGTAATTTGGTTTTGGACCCCTTTAGATGATATTGCCCCTCAAGATATTTCTGCTTGACAGCTTCAGTTAGGGTTGCTTTTTATATTGCTTTTATAAAGGCAGGTCTTTACCACAGGCAGTTTTATTGCCATAAACCCATTTCATTTCTATGACCAGTTTCTCTACAAGGTTTATATTAAATCAAGGATTATCACCCTGAAATTCTGCAATGTTTTTGTGAACCTGTGGTTTCTGGGGGGACCATTTATCAGCAGATGAGGTTTTCTTTATTCCAGATCAGCTTCCTTGCTCTGGTTTCATTGTTTCACCTGCTAATCCTTTTGCCCTCGTATTTTGTTTTAAATAACTTGTACTTATTTGGGTTGATTTGAATACTTTGTTTAGTAGGTTTATGCCCATAAAACTTCCTATCTTGATTGGAATAGCAAGTGTCTGATAGCTGTGAGCTCTTCTCCACACTCCTTCCACGTTTGCTAAATCTGAGGTGGATTTCATGTCCAAACACGTAAAAATTATCTGAGCAAGGATTTTGGAAGTCTGCTGTTGCTTTTATGTGTTTTTCAAAGTTTTATTTTGTTTCAAGGGGGAGGGTGTGGTTCCCCCTCCTCCCTGTCGTATGGTGGATATGCTTTTGCATTTCCCATTTGTTGCTGAGTGGGGATATGGACCAAGTGGACAAGAAATACTGAACTTTTTTCTGTGTACTGTCTCAGGCTGTTTACATTCAGCGCCTGTGGCATCACCTGCAGCCTTTTCTGTTCAATACCTTGTGTGAGAGCATTCCTCCCTGGGATTACTCCATTCTCTTGACTCCTTCCCCAGTCTCTGGGGTTCTCCCCCTCACCACCCCCAGTACCTGTGATTGTATACTCTGGGGTTTTGCTTAAATTTTGGGACACTGCTGAGCCAGGAGGGAGTAAAAGTGTTTAACAGCAACAAGGATGTAGAAGAATATCTTGGCTGCATATCTGTACCCTGGGGAAACAAGGTGGATTAAATCAAGATTGGAATAAGAGGATATGTCCCTTTGCACTGATCTGTGCCCAGTTTTTGCACTAAACAGGAGGAATTCTTTCTCTCAAGCTGATGCTCCCTTTCTTCAAATGCAGCTTGTCTACACAGTTCAGTGGTTAGTTTTGATTTATTTTCCCTTAATTTCTTAAAAAACCCAGACTTTTGTGATTCCCTGGATTCTTGGAATACTTCAGGATACCTTAAATGCTATTTTCTCAAAGTCAAAGCCCCTTCAATATTCTTGGCTTTCTAGCCATACTAAAAATAATTAATGGAGTCATAGAATGTTTTGGGTTGAAAAAAGCTCATCCAGTTCCACCCCCTGCCATGGGCAGGGACACCTTCCACTAGCCCAGGTTGCTCCAAGCCCCATCCAACCTGGCCTTGGACACTTCCAGGGATGGGGCAGCCACAACTTCTCTGGGCAACCTGTGCCAGGGCCTCCCCACCCTCCCAGGGAAGAATTTCTTCCCATCATTAAACCATTCCCCCTTGTCCCATCACTGTCTCTGTGTAAAAAGTCTCTCTCCCTGGTTTTTATAAGCCCCCTTTAGGTACTGGAAGGCCACAGTGAGGTCATCCCAGAATCCATTATTTACATTCCCATTTGTACTGTGGCTGTTTGATTTGAACTCTGTTCCCTCTGTGTGGAATATTCTGTGTCTCATTTGCCCAGTTGTTCTCTTGGCATGTCCATACATTGCTGAGCCTGGATAGCATTTGATTGGGAGCACAGGAGGAAGAGCTGTGTGAGACAAGGCAAAATGGTACTGATTACAAATCCAGTGTGGTTTTTCCTGAGGATATGGAACTGGGATTAATTTTATCTCTGCAGGGAAGTATTGCTTACTCTGCCATTAATTGCTAGTGACACCCAGGGCAAGCTGCAGGGTCCTGCCCTGTGTTCAGGGTGACCTTGGAACGTGTGGCCCAGAAAATAAGGGCAGCTGCAGGAGTTTTAGTTTGAGACTGTGTGTTTTATTTAGGGAAATGCACCTTAGTCCTCTGTAATTAATCGTTTTGTGGGTCTTTCAGTTCTCCAGGTGTATAAAAATGTTTGGAGAGCATAGGTTAGCTATAAAATATTAGTGTTGCTGGGTGAACAAATGTCTCCTTTCACTGCATGTGAGGGAGAGTGACTTTGTACACGAGCAGGCAGTGATAGGACAAGGGGGAATGGTTTTAAACTATAAAAGAGGAGAGATTTACATAAATACATCCCCGGGAGGGTGGGGAGGCCCTGGCACAGATTGCCCAGAGCATCTGTGGCTGCCCCATCCCTGGAAGTGTCCAAGGCCAGGTTGGACAGGGCTTGGAGCAAGCTGGGCTGGTGGAAGGTGTCCCTGCCCATGCAGGAGGTGGCACTGGATGAGCTTTAAGGTTCCTTCCAACCCAAACCATTCTGTGTTTCTGTAGTCTCATTACCTTGACACTAATTCCATAGTGCTTACGTGCTTTGGGCTTAAGAAATGAACTATTCCAGGAGGAATTACCTGTGATTGTCCAGCTGACAATCCAAGGCAGTTTGGTTTGAGTGAACACAGTTGTAAATAAGAGCAAAACCAGAACCTTGATTCCCAGGAGCAGACAGGGGTATGTTCGGGAGAGCCTGTAATGACTCTCTTGGAAGATTGTGTGAAAAGTCTTTGTTTCCTTCCATTCCAGTTTTTACCTGTGTCTGAGCCTGTGGCACTTCTCTGAAACTGGTGCTTTGTGGGATTTTGAAGTGCTCTGTCAGTGCTGCACAACATTGGCCTCCAAACTTGCCGTGGAATTTAGGGACTTGAGGAAGTATCCGCTAAAAATTCAGATACAAGTGGAGCTGGTGATCCTGAGAGTTGTGTTTGGTCCTGTTCTTCCCTGTCTCACTCTTCCCTTTCTCCTTGCAGGTCTCGATGCAGAGCTGTCCTACGTGAGGAATGATGTGATTAATCACTACGCCTTGTCCTTCAACCTCTTAATTCCCAGTGAGACCAACAATCTCCACTTCACCTGGCATGCTAAATCCAAGGTGAGCAGTAACTTCTGGGTTTGGGTGCTTGAGACATGAGCTGTGCTGCCTAGTGAATATTATCATTAGTGTTATTAGTTCTTTTATCACATAATGGCTCTTTTCTTTGCAAAAATTAGCATGTGCTAGGTGCAAAATACTTATTTATATGACTGCAGGCAGCAAGTTAAGATGATATGTATCCAAGCTGTTCCTTTCTTACTTTAGAAAGGTTAAGCACTTATTTTAAAGTATTTTATGCTGTTTGCTCCTGGCAAGGTCCATGGATGTACACAAGCTGTGGAATCTCTTCTGTTGGTGCACTGGACACGCAGAAGGGGCAGTCATGAACTGAAGCCTCTGGAAATGATATGTACAGCAATTGTTGGAGAGATTTCTAGAAACATATGCCTGGAGACAAGGAGAACCTATAAAAACAGCATCTAGTATGTTATTACTGAACCCTGATTAAATGGAAAGGGGTTTTATTTCACTTAATCACTGTGGCTGGAGCGTGCAGCAGCAGCTGTCAGAAACGTTGCCTGTGCTCTTTCCAGTTCCTTAACAATTTATATTTTCATATATTAAATGATCTGTTTAGTCTCTGCCAGATGTTCATTCTGGGCTGTTGTTTTTTTTTTCTTTTTTAAATTGAGTGATGGTTGTTCTTCTGTCCTTAGGAAGGAAATGCTGCAGTAGGAGCAGTAACATGAGTTTCCTTGTTAGAGCTGCAGCCATGGGCCACCTGCATCCCTGTCCCTGCCCTGAGCTTCCTTGGGCCTGGCTGGGAATTCTGAGGAGGAATTTTTGAGCTTGTGATTGCACCTTCCCTTCTGACTTGGTGGGGTGGGTGCAGGGCAGTTTGTAGGAGCTCAGAAACTGGGTAGTGTCTCCACACTTGGCATCTTGACTGGAAAATAAATTGATAACAGAAATGAACCGTATTATGTTTTAGAAAGGAGGGAAAAAAATAAACTGTTGGGCCAAACAAAGTCAAACAAATTCATTCAACTGACTGTGAAGGGTTGGGATTAATTTCCAGCAGGATCTTAGGACTTACAGTAGGCCTGTAGGGTTTTTTTTGAATGAATGTTTGCTGAATCAGCTTCTTAAGTAGAAACAAAATCCTGACTATAGTTGAGTAAATTGTTTCTAAGCAATTTTGTTTGTAAAACTGACTAGAAGAGGGGGAATTTTTTGAATTCCTATGGCTGACTTTTGAAGAAGTAAGTTTAAAAGTACTGACAGGTGAGGTTTGTGGGGGATTTTTTTTTTATTACACCACTCTGAATTCTGCCTCAAATTTTAAAGAACGATTTCTGTTTTGGCTTTCTTAATTTAAACTATCACAAATACCTGATGTTTAAATATCACATAAGAAACTCGGAATGTGGTCACTTAAAATCACCAGAACTCTTTGAAAACAATGTATATAGGTTTTTTTTTCTTTTCAAGAAGAATTGTGAAAAGGTATGTAGCATTTCTTTTTACTACTGCAGAGATTTCTGATGTGTTTTCTCTCTCCCAACTCTTGTTACAGGTTGAGTATAAACTGGGATTTCAGGTCCATGATCCCGTGGCCATGGCTCTGCCCCAGGCCAACATTTCTCTACAGGGAGAAGTTCCTCGCACCCTCTCAGGTAAAATTCCCACCCCCCAACCAGCTAATGGGGGAATAATGGTCACTTACTCCCAAATACAGTTTTAGTAACCTGTGAACATTTAATATAAGTGACATAAATGAATTTAAAATCTATGTCCTTTAATGCTCTGATATTTGTCTGAAGTGATGAGGCGTGAAGGCTAAAATAACATTTCTTAATATCGAGTTATTTGACAGTGTGCATTATAAACATCATTTATAAAGACCCTTATCATGGAAAGTTGTTCCATCACAATGTCTGAGAAGTGCTCAAACTTACCTGCAATCCCTTTTGTTGTGTTCACAGTGTTTTGTGTGGAACTCTCCTGCACTGGCAGACTCGACTCCGATGTCACAATATTAATGCAGCTCAACTTAACAATGAATTCCTCAAAAAACATCACAATTTTAAATTTCAAAAGAAGGAAAATGTGCTACAAAAGTAAGAGACTAAGTTTCAAATCTTGAAAAGTTCTTACTGTTAAAGTGTGATAGGAAAAGGGAGTGGGATGGTGTGTGATCCAGGACAGGAGTAACAGAGTGAGTGTTGGAGAGGATTGGAAGAAAGCAGGTCAAATTTTGTCTTTCAGAGATCAGTGGGGACTTGTGGTAAAAGCAGAAGCTGGTGAATGAATAACTTTCCCCAAGAGTTTTGCTGTATTGATTGACCTTTATTTTTTACATATATATCAGAAAGCATTTTCTCTGTGCTTGGAAGGAAAAAAGGTGTTTCTCAAAACTGCAACACTCTGAGAATTCAAATTGTTCTAAGAATTACCAAGCAAATCTACTTAGTTCATAACTTATGATAAGATTAGCTATTTAGTGAATATAAGGAGGTGTTAGTCTGTCAGACATGGAGCACAAAATGATCTTGGGATGTAATCCAGACTCTGGAAATCCCAGATTGACTCTTTGGTGTTTCCACTTGGGAATCTGCAAGCATAATTTATACTTGGATTGTTGCTGCTTCCTAGAATTTTCAGAGTATTTCGTAGTATTTTGATAGGCATCAGAAGACAATTGTTTAGGAGGATCCCAAGAGCTGTGCCCTCCTTAGGAGTGGTTGTGGTGTCCTGTTCCCAGCGTTTGGGGGTGGCCAGCTCTCTCTTTCCATGCTCCTCCTGACTCTGATCACGTGGAGCCTTTGAGGACAGGACAGCAGTTGGCATTCCAGAGGGACATTTGTCACTTTTCTGGAGTGGGATGCCCAGGGATGAACTTGGGGAAGGTGTGGGTGGAAGAGCTGGTGTGGCTTTGTAGCACATAATGTTGGGGTACTCCTGTTCCTTGCATTGATGCTACAGGAAGATCATTCTTAATTATAATAATTAATTACAATAATAAATATAATAATAATAATTATAATAATTAAAGTGCATCTCTAGTAAAAATGGAGGTCTGGCTGATAATATTGACATTTTTACCTTTATGTTATGTTTTCCTGGGTATTTTTTTAACTATTCTAAGTGAGGGAAGTCAGCCCTGCTGACCCATTCACAGCTATGGATGTGTGGCAGAGGTTTCCAAAGGCACCACACGGTTTTCTGGGGCTGTGAGACAAATCCACTTCCTAAATCATGCAGAAATGATTCTTATAAAGATCACATTTCTGCAGGTTCATCAAACCATCAATGACTTTGTGTGTTGGTTGGTGTAGATCACCCAGGGATTTCTGACTTAATTTAGTGCCTAAGTTAGAAATACAAAGGAACTTGCTACTGGTTTTGCTCAGGGCATTCCTGATAGTTCCTCCTCAAGTTTAAAAAGGGAATAAAAAAAGAGGAGAAAAACTCTCTGATTTTTCCCTGCCCTGGATTACTGTTTCACAAGGTGAACAGGCTGAACTGGGATGGGAAGGGGCTGGGCTGGATTGGATACAACTGGAAGCAGGAAAGGGGATGTGCAAGTTGGATTCCCTCCATGCAAATCCTCAGGGAGGTTCACCTGAAGGCATCTCCACAGCCTGCATTCCCTGGGTTTGCACTGCTCCCCTTGGAAACCAGGCTCACAATAAGCCTAATGAAGATTTGTTCCCTTTGTAAAGGACCACAGCACATGTTTTGTGCCTTTAGCTACATATTTCTGAGTGTTTCAATAGGCATCATGTCTCTCATCCCTCAGTCTGGTTTTCCCTGAAGGAGGCAATTGGCTTCCTGTGAAGGGCTGCAGTAATAAAAGTACACCAAACTGAATGGTTTTGTCTCATCTCTTTAGAGCTTGAACCAGAAGTCAAATCTCCAACAGCTGATAAAAACAGCAGCAAGGCTCTCTGTAAGTAATCCTGAACATACAGCTTTGGGTGTGAAAACTGGAAAACTTGGGATGCTCTTTGCTGCCACAGCTTTCCCTGTTAAAACACTTTCCAAATAGTCTGTACTGTACCCAGTATTTTGGGGGGGTGTGTTTGATAATTAATTTTATTAATTAATTATATTAACTAGTGAAGGGGGTAAAAACCCCTATTTCAAGTCTCCTTACAACTCTCGTGTCCCATCTTAGGGGCTCTGGTTTCCCTACATGGCTGATCTGTTTTCTTTAGGACTTTAGGACCTGTCTGGTTTGCTGTTCTGACCTGTCACTGTTGAGTGAATGGGACGAGATAGTTTCTTTTACTCACTCCTGCCTGGAAGTACCATCAGCTGACTGTGCTCAGCCTCCAGAGTGCCCAAAATGTCATTTTTTGGCCCAAATGCTCTTGGAAGGCAGTGGAGTGCATTGCTGCTGTCTCTTCCAGGGCAGTTGTTCTCCAGGATACCTGATCCCTCCCTGCCTCCAGCCCTTCTGCTCACGTTGATGTAACAAACTAACAAATTGTAATTTCTTGTGGGATTTGTTTGTTTTTTTTCTCTTTGAGTTTGGTGACTTTGTACCTCCCTGTTTCAGTTGATCCTGTAAACGCAGCTCCCACCACTTCCACCCGGGTGTTCTACATCAGTGTGGGCGTGTGCTGTGCTGTGATATTCCTGGTGGCAATAATCCTGGCTGTCCTGCACCTCCACAGCATGAAAAGGATCGAGTTGGATGACAGGTGTGTATTCCAGATTTGCTCAGATTTGTGGGAGTTTGGTCTCAAAACGAAATCCGTGGGATTTCTGCTCTCCATGTCAAGCTGTAGCAGGTATTACCTGTGTAGGGTTGTGGTAAGTGCTGTGCTGCAGAAAGGCAGCTTTTGCAGGTGCCCTGCTGTTTATGGGGTGGGAGGGTTGTGGCTGCTCAGTTTTTGTCAGAGTAGTTGTGTGGGTGGAGTGGGGAAATTCAGACAGAATCAGATTTACAGGGGTTGTCAGGATTGACAGAAAAATTGGTAGATACTTGGGCAGACGGAAAAGGCAGGCTGAGAGAGCTGGGGGTGTTCAGCCTGGAGAGGAGAAGGGTCTGCAAAGACCTTTTAGCCCCTTCCAGTGCCTGAGAAGGCTCTAAGAGAGCTGGAGGGGGAATTTGAACAAGGGCCTGGAGGGACAAGAGAAGAGGGAGTAGCTTCCCACTGCCAGAGGGCAGGGTTAGATGGGGTATTGGGATGGAACTGTTGGCTGGGAGGGTGGTGAGGCCCCGATACAGGTTGCCCAGAGAAGCTGTGGCTGCCCCTGGATCCCTGGAAGTGTCCAAGGCCAGGTTGGACGGGGCTTGGAGCAATCTGGGCTAGTGGAAGGGTGGAATGAGATGAGCTTTAAGATCCTTTCCAACTCAACCAATTCTGGGATCCAGGAGGCTATGGAAACATTTGTTTTTTACTGACATCTACAGGAGACTGAATTTCAGTTTTCTCTATTTTTATGGATTTTCCGGTATTCCCTTTGCTCTTAGGGTGAGTTCCCTGAAACACAATTTAATGTGTGAGCGACTTCAAAAACTCTGCTCTTTCCAAACCTTGCCTGGAAAATCTCCTGGTTTAACGCCACTGAGTTAACTTTGAATGCGTTCCAGTGGCGAGCAGTGATGTTTTAACTGTCCATCTTTGTTTTAAACCAGCATCAGTGACAGCAGCAGCTCCCAAGGCCTGTCCCAGCCCTCCACACAGACGACGCAGTACCTGCGAGCTGACACCCCCAACAACGCCACGCCAGTAACCAGTAAGTGTTAATCTAAGGACAGACTTATCCAGCCATGCCACAGTCAGGAGGGAGCTCTGGGGCTCAGGAGTGATCCCATCTCCATGTGTTTCTGATGGTTGTGTTATTCTTTTCATCTCTTTTTGCTTCCAGCTTTACTTGAAATGATATGAAGTAGCTAAAAAGAGCAGTGAATGAAAAGGAAGGGTGGCAATGGTTTGCATTCTCTGTGGTTGACTGGTCTGGTAACTGATATCATGGAATCTCTTGAGCTGGAAGGGACCCACAAGGATCATCCAGTCCAGCTCCTGGCCCTGCCCAGGACACCCCAACAATCCCACCCTGTCCCTGAGAGCGCTGTCCAAACCCTCCTGGAGCTCTGGCAGCCTTGGGGCTGTGCCCACTGCCCTGGGGAGCCTGGTCAGTGCCCAACCACCCTCTGGGGAAGAACCTTTGCCTGAGATCCAACCTGACCCTGCCCTGGCACAGCTCCAGCCATTCCCTGGGGTCTTGTCACTGGTCACAGAGGGCAGAGATCCCACGTGCAGCACGAGGGAAAGGCTCCTGGTCACTCCAGTGAGGCTGAACAGCCAAGGAACTGCACTCCAGGTGTGTCCCTGCACTGTCCGGCTTCCCTCCAGCTGGAACAGTCCCTTCCCTGGAGCAATGCTGCGTGGGATAGCCCTCCACTAGACAATAATTTGAGGAGCAAAAATTCCACAGATAATAAATATATAAATATATAACACAGATAATAAATAAATAAATACGGAATTAACACACAACCCAGCTGATCATTGCACAGTTGCGTTAATTGGGTTTTCAGTAACATTTAAATTTTTAAGAAAATATTACCAGAGTAATTCTCAAGATTTCTCTAATGATTCATAAACTTGTGCAAAAGTACTCTGTCCTTTCTGACTCTGCTGGTGTCTCCAGATGTGTGGAAGTGCCAGCAGAGGGCACTGGTAGTTTGGTTATGTCCTGCTGGGGTCAGGCGTCTTCCCTCTTCATTTCCTCCTTGTCAGGGCACTGCAGGGAGGTGTTAGTCACCTTTCCTTGGGGTTAATAAAGAGGCACTTTATTATTATGTATTATTGTTATCTCGTGACACTGCAGGGAATCCTTGTGTGATTTCTTTCCCTGCTGATGATTCTTCACACAGCATCTTGTGTTTTTTATTGCTCAATCCTCTTTTTAAGATGAATACACAATGTTTTTAGGGCCGTGCTGGTCTGTACCTGTAGGTGGTGCTGAGGTGAAGCCGTGTGCTTGTGTATTTTCATTCCAAGGGTATTTATGTTGGATTGTTTGGCTCTGCTGGCTCCTCAGGTTATCCTACGTTACGGATAGAGAAGAATGATCTCAAAAGTGTCACTCTCATGGAGGCCAAAGCTAAAGTGAAGGACATAGCCATCTCCAGGGAGAGGATAACCCTCAAAGACGTGCTCCAGGAAGGTATTTACAGCACTCAGACACTTTATTCCTGCCCCACGATGCCGATATATAAATACACAGATATTGATATATAAATATACACAGATTTTTATTGCTGGATTTTTCTGAGGTTATTAATGGGTGACATTTCTGATCTTTATATAACTTTGGTGGAAGAGAGGAACGATGAGTGATGTTTGCACTTGGGGTGTGGGGAAAGCAGTTTCCAGAATTCATTAGAATGGGGGAGCAACTAAAAGGAAATCATTGGGCTTGTCTGTCTTACCAGTCTGGCCCCTTAAATAAAGGAAGGTGTTAGATGGCTGAGGAGTGAGGGAATCATTTGGGGCTGTAAGTGGCCAGGTAACTAATTTTTGAGAATTCCTGCTCTTAACAACAAAAAAAATCAAAGTGAAAACAACCCAAAGACCAGAAAAACTTCAGTTGTCCAAACTCAGTGTCTCAACTTGATAACCTTTGATCTGGAAATCTAATCAGCAGATGCCACATTTACAGCCCTGATATCAAAAATTCAGAAATTACCAGGTTCTTTTCATAGAATATCCTGAGTTGAAAGGCACCCACAAGGATTCTGGAGTCCAACCCCTGATTGTTCATTTTGGAACTGTTCCTGCACAGTGTTGATTGATTCTCGTTGATACCAAATTTGGGAAATAAGCTTGTTTAGGGTTTTTTACCATTAATGTCTGAGTCTGTGTTCCCTGAGCAATCGAACTTCCCAGAGCTGGAGATCTGAGGTGATCATCCTTTGGAGGCAGGACTGCTGAATGCTCTGTGTTAGTCTGAGCAGCAGTGGGAGGACCTTTGCTCCCGTTTGCCGTGTGCCTCTGAAGGTCTGGGGGCACAGCTCTGTGCTCAGCTCCAGTGTGAGCTCTGCAAAACCTTCCTTGCTCGTGCCTTCCTTGGAATGTGCCTTGTTTTCCCCTGTGCTCTGCCTGTAGCTGGGGTGTTGGGAGTCATCCATGACTAGAATTGACTCAGTGCCCCAGCAGCACTTCAGATGTTTGGTGACAGAGCTGGATGAGTCTTAAAGGATTGCAGTATTGATACTTAATTTGAGTGGATTCTGCTGCTGTCATTAGTTCACTCTCATACTTGTCCCCCTAAATTCTTAGTTATCTAAAACCTTCAGGATTTACTGCCTGTAGTTGTGAATCCACCTCATGCTGGAGAACTGGTTGGGTTCTATATTGGTGATTTTATGGGATTTATAGACACTTTAATTGCCATTGCTCCTCACTTTCTGCTGTGGCTGATACATCCTAAAGTAGTGTTTTCTTAATAGATACTCTCTTAATGTTATCAGTGTGTTTTACCCACTTAATACTAATTGTATGTTCTCTTTCCAGGCACCTTTGGGCGCATTTTCCATGGAATTCTAATAGAAGAGAAAGACCCCAGTAAAGAGAAGCAAGTTTTTGTCAAAACTGTTAAAGGTATGTTTGCAAAAGGATTGGGTTTGTGTGCAGGTGTTTGAGTTGTGGTGCAGACTGAGGGTACCAAACCTGGCTCTAAGAACAACTCTCCCTCCCCAAAATATGCAAATGGTTACTGCTTAAAAAGCAAAAGCAGTTTGGATGCTGCCTTCAACCAGAGAGAACAGCAATCTTATATGGAAGAAAAATGCATATATTCTCTACCACTGCCTTCAGCTATTTTCCCTGGAATACTTTCACTTATTATTGTTCTAAGTAAAAGTCAGATTGGTTTTTTTCCCAAGCATGTCACTGCTCTTTCCATCCACAGCCTTATTGCCTGCAAATTGCTGAAAACCACCTAAAATACATCTTGAAAATCTTCTATAAATGTGTGAATGTGCACAAGGCAGGGCATGGGCTCTGCCTTCCTTAAGCTTTGCTGGTGAAGTGTGAGAATTAGCATTCAGAACTGAACTGATACAAATAGAGCATCTGTGTCCAAGAAATATTTTGTTGGGGGAATTGAAATGGTGACAGGTAGACTTAAGAAACAAGGTAGGTAGAGATGAAAACCATATTATATATATCCTGTGTATATATTACATATATCCTACATATATCCCTACATTACATGTATCTACATACATCCCATCCTCTGCACTCATCATTGTAGGAGTCTTCTGGTAGCTGAATTCCCAGTGCAGTGGTTGTTTCAC